AAAAACTTGTTTCAGCTGGGAATAATGTCTTTTTAACGCGAGCGGCCAGAGTGGACTATATCAGTTGGTATAAAGATTGACTGTGAACATACTAGAATGTCCAGCTGTTCCAGAAAGTTCTGGAATATTCTGTGAAGTACAGTATTCCTTTAGGGGTTTCGGAGTTCAATGCAAATTATTGTTTCTAGTATTTGTAACTTTCCTAATGAAATCCTGAAGTTTTCTTTTTCGATTAATCGGAACGTTCGAAGGAAATAAAAGAGTAAACCGTCTCTTAGGGCGTTCACTGTACTTCGTGATCTAGCAAACTATTTCGAATAACCGTTTCCAAGCAAGACAGGAAGAAATTCTAAAAAGCTAAGGAATCTGATATTGATATATCGATATCATGGTTTGAACCTCTTCTACGTTCGGGAATAGCATTTTCTGTTTCTGTGGATTGTTCGAGTATTTTCTTCATCCATTTTTGTTAGACATTTCTACATCGTCTTTTTAATCATTTCCTTTGCCTCTCATGATTTATTGCTATTTCGGTATTTTTCACGGCTATTTCATGCGGAAGTACTTCCGTGGATGTGAAAACAGCTGTTCCAGCTATGTGTGACCATGGCGCAGGCGGGTGTCGACACGAAGCGGGTGAAATGCCTGATTTTGGAGAAGGTCAACGATATGATATGCATCAATATATCGATATGAATAAGGTAAATCGATTGAGAAGATTCTGTGCCAACGATTTTAAGATATTTTTTATTGCCATTTTGAATGGCGCTCATCTAATAGTTGATATGACAGGCTTTTAGGACGAACTTAAAAACGGAACAAGTACTACGATAGGGAATAAGTGTCTGTAGAACTAAGCCCAACTGCTTTCCTAACAGGGTTGTATGATTTGAGGGAATAAGGGTTATATGCTCCAAGAAAATATTGTAGGAGAGAGTTGCACGCATTTATTAATTTCCCTTTTGCTAAACAGCCACCTTGAAGTGATGAGTGAGAAGGGTATCAAACCATAATAAATCAGTGAGCTTCATGAATGTCTGCGGATGATCGGATCAAACTTATTTCATTGTTTGCTTGCAAATAGCTGTATTCTATTTGGATTTGAACTGTTCCATTGACAGAGCAGTGGCAATAATTTTGAAAATATCAAAGGTAGGGTAGAGATCGATACGGACTTTATGAGGATTTCTTACCTCATAATTCCCTTAACCAATAAGCAAACCTCGAAAGAAATATCAAAATTGAGTGTAAATTGTCCAACATTCAAACATACTGATATGTCTCCTGTTCAGGTTACGGTTTTGAACGAGAACGTTGACGGTCAAGGAAAACTAGTTTTCAAACCAATGGATCGAAGATTGGACAGGTGACATTTCATTGATTCATGCCATGGTTACCGTATCTGAAGACTATCATAGTTAACAATCCTGCAATTCTCCAAGAGAACATCGAGAATTCATAAGAAATGCTATATTTGAGTTTTTTAATCTTAACAAATCCCATCTCTTCGTAGGAGATGGCTTGTCAATGACATCATCGAATTATAGCCTTCTTCATGTGATTTCGTGTTGGTTCCAATATGAAATTGATTGCAATTTGCCAAGTGTTAGGGTAAGAAGCACTGTTCAATGCTTGTATGAGTGGAATGTATTGGATCTCCACCGTTTCTCTTACGGTAAATCGGGGGTGAACTCCGACGGTGTAGTGCGTTCTGAGGGTGCAGCGCTATTTGATAATTATTACTTCTAGCTCTGTGCCATGCTGTTTCCAAACCGTTTTTGCTATGATTAGTTAGTCGCAATATTTTTATTTTGTTGCCATATACACAGGTATTTGTTTGAAATTTTTGAAGAAAACTTATTGTATAAAATCGAGTTATAACAAGGTAGCTAGTAAGAAGTGTAGCCACTTGACAGTAATGATGTTACTTAATTTTTAGAATCGATTTCGTGTTGAGCGATTGTGATGAAGAACTGCTGTTCAACGTACCGTTCTCGGGTCAAGTACGAATCACCGGTTTGTCGGTGATCGGTGATGATGATGGGAGCCATCCTGCGAAAGTTCGTATCTTCAAAGATCGGCCAGCGGTATGGGACCATTACTTGCATTTAATGGCTTTTCGAATATCTCTTGAAACTCAACGTGACGGAATAGCTTTAAAGATATTTGGGTATGCATTTTGAGCAAGCGGTCCTCCGTGTATTTTTAGTGTTGGTTTTAACGAGTCACCGACATTTACGCAAATGTTTATGGTCCATAGGCGGGGAACGCGTAGAATATTTGCATGAAAAATAAAAATAGTGAGCAATGGCAATCGATTCAAATCATCGTATAGCACATATAAGCGATTAAGTGTTTTTACTATTACGGCTGTAGTAGAAGTGCGTATTGCACCTTAAAAAGTTGGGATCAACGTCCATTCCTACGCTTCCGATCTATTTCCGATTTAAGGGATCGGATAATTCACGGTGTATGCAGAAATCTTCATTAGTACAGGAAATGGTTTACCAGTTGAATTAATCTGCCAGTTTCGAGCTAAATAGCTGATTGGGAGCTCTTTTTGGGAAAACCTTTGGATTCCATGCTAAAGAAGTAAGAGAAGTTGAAGCTCGTTGCAAGGTTTCATTGATACAACTCCATTCATAATCAATGTGTGAATGGTGTCCTCGCCCTAATCCTATCCCGATAACTTCACTGGAAATATGAAGAATCATGGGCTACACTGTCGGTATTATGATAGGGTTTTTTAACGCTTCTCATCTACTCTTGAATGAATAAGGGATCGGATAATCTACAGTGTATCCAGAAATGTTTATTAGTACAGAAAATGGTTTACCAGTTGAATCAAACTGCCAGTTTGGAGCTGAGTAGCTGATTCGGAGCTTTTTTCGAGGAAACCTTTGAATTCCATGCTAAGGAAGTAAGAGAAGTTGGAGCTCGTGGCAAGGTTTCATTGATACAACTCCATTCATAATCAATGTGTGAATGGTGTCCTCGCCCTGATCATTTCCCAATAACTTTACCGGAAATAATCTCTGTGTAAAGAGTAACAGAATACTTGAAGTATTATGGGCTATACTTCGATAACTTATTGATAGGATTCTATTAAGTAGAAAGTAATATACGATTTCGAGAGTTAGGTAGTCGTATTGTACCATCGAACATTTCGAGAAAGTGGGCATGAGCCAAGGCAGCGGGTAAATATCATCCAAAAACCGTAGTCTATGGAAAGTTAGAACAAAATTAGAAATTCAGGGGGAGGAGATCATGGAGCATATCTCGGTCCCTGGGTCTCTTGTTTTCTCAAAACTCTCATGATTTATTGCCTTTGCATCCATCACGTCCTGTCAACGTATCTATAACGGATTGTCGAAGAAAATGAAGTCTATGTGTGTGTCGGGAGCTGCTTTTTTCGAGCTGTACTTTCATTAGTAATTCAGAAGTCGATTTTTTAGATGTCATTCGACGATTGCTTGATCGAGCCCGATCAGGAGATCGACTTGAAACAGGATCCCAATGGTACAAACTCATGGATTTCATTACTTTTTGTCTCTCAATGGTCATTGTTGTTGAGGCGTTGTTGATTACCCACTGAAGGCAGCGAAATTCGGTACAGTATCGCACCTGAGCGTCCACGTCGCGAAGAACTTTGGTCATGAGCAGACTAAGGTCAATTATATCGGCTTACGAGGCGAATATCAGGCGGATTTTCGTCAGCAGGTTGGCGTTGATTTTATATAACAAATTCTCAGCTTTAATCCCATAGATTTCTATGCTTACCAATTTTCGTTGATTCCTATGAGTATGTTTTTTGTGAGTTTTTTTTTCGTTTTATTTCTCTTGTTAACAGATTCTGCAAGATAAGAGGGATTCTGTTTGAATTGGTTCTCCTCCTGATTTCCTAGCCATCTATCTTTCTCATCTGATTGCTACATGTGTGTAGGCATATATTGGTGCTCAATGCAAAATATGCACTTTGCGAGCATTTACATATTCGTGGGATGCTGGCGAAATATGCTGTCAACTGGGTACAACCAGGGGCTGGAGACAGCCCAGGCGCAGCCTTTGGCGAGTGCTCAGCCACAAATTTTTAAATCGCGTTCGAGACGGTTTCGCAAACATTTTTCCAAGCCAGCTTTTGAGGTCGGCAGTTTAACACATTTTTAAAGAATCCGGCGTTTTCTTCACAGTGTTTTGCTGCATTTTTTAAAATACTTTCTTTGATCTATCAATACAACCTAAATCGTCTTCAGTGATTGTTCAGTATTGCTCTGCACTTTTTTTGAGTAGAGATGACCCTTGAGCTGAAAGCGCCTCTTCGTAAACAGTTAACCTAATGTTCTGGGTTTTTTAACTCTCGCTGATGACCCATTTACACGTAGCTTGTGTTGGAGCTTCTAAGAGGAGCTTACTTTTACCTTCTTGCCTCGATCCTCGGGCAGCGCGCTCCATTTTGGGACAGCCAGGTATGAGTCTGGCAATAAGGTCCAACATGAGGGTCCACCACGAGCTCCCCCCTCCCCTATTTCCAGACCAGGACTTTCAATCAATAGCTGTGGAACGCAGCTAACACTTCCACTCTATCACCAGCACATCTTGATCGGACCAGTAAAATGTTGTAGGATAATTAAAATTCTTCAATGTACGCTGATTCAGGTTGTTTCTTAGAGAGGTAAAGACCAGTATACGTTGTTTCGAATACAAGGACCCTGCTAGCTTTGACTTAACTCGTGAAGCCAACTTTCCAAGTTTTCCATGTCCCCTTCATATCTTCCTGTTCATGAATAGCTGCTCGAAGAACATTATCCAGTTCATGGCTTATGTCAAAATGAATTCGCTATTTATGGCATACCTGAAAGCCTCATGGGGCCTTGCTTACTCTGCTCGCTAAAATCAGGCCGTCTAAGCGGGTTCGTAGAGGGTTCATCGTATGAGGAGCAGTAATCTAAACTATTTGCGCAGATAGGCCCATTAGCAAGGAAAAATAAAATAGTGGCGCTTCCAGCTGTAACATAGGAGTATATGAGGTCATGCTTTTCTTCACTGACCCTCGACTCATTGATTAATATTTGAGTGGCTGATGTCACGAACGTTGATATTTGAGCAGCTAGTGTCACGAACAACCATTTTCCTCAAAAGCTTTAAAAGTGAAATGATTTCCTCTGTTCCGAGCTGAGAAGCTGTATGAAATCGATTCACAGCATCAAACTTGGATAGTGATAAAGTTGGAAACTTCATTGTGCAAGGTAAGCCTGTTTTCTAGTGTGAACGGTTGAGTTAGGACCGATCTGCATAGGACAACTGGAGACCTGGCTGCCCTCTTCGCGTAATTCATATTTCATTGTTATCAGATGCCTAAAGAAAAAAGGATGGGTTTTTGATGATTTGCTGATTGTCCAAGCTATTTTGTTGATAATTACAATTATTTAATTTTGCAGTAAAAATGTTTCTTAGAGCAACTCTTTAAAAGGGAACTAGGTTACTTTTGGGAAAAAAAAGAGACTGCCAAAGGACCTGAGACAGCGGAAAAACCGCCCTCTATGTGACCTAGGGTTCAGATGTCTTACTAATTGGGATTGGGACGCCATTTAATTCTAAACAACAATATGGGTAAGACTCTCGCTTTGGAGTTTCAGAGAGACCTGCTTTGTTCTTGCTGTGGTTTCGTTTATTTGTGTTAAGGTTTTGTTTATCCCCTTGCTTGGTCAAAACAAAACTTCTGAACCATACTCAAGCAATGTATATAACGGTGACAAAAGCAGAAAGCATTGGCGTCGATCACTTTTTCCATATCTTCAAGTACCATACACTTCGAGTTCATAAGGTGTGCTACGATGTTTCCGAAGCTTTTAAAGTAATTTGTAATCGGAGAATCTCGTTGATGCCACTTCATCTAGATTGAATGAGACTTAAGAGCCCATAGAGCTAATCCGATCTGAAGTGCGAATGGTGTTCCCTCTTACGAAGATATTTAGGATTTGCATTCGGTCTAACAGCAGGTAGCTTAGCGCTCAATAGCTGTCAGATGATGAAAGCAGAGTTGATCAGAGTCGATATAAAATGCTTCTATGAGGAGATTTTAAATTTAAACTGAATTGATGTTAAGGCCTACTTTATGGCCTACGACCAGGGGTCATATATCTTTTGCTTGTTTTACTAATAAAATTTGGTATCTTTGGTAATTTTGGTGAAATAATACCATGTTATGCCTCTAGTTTCACCTTTATTTTATAGTTCTGCCCAATAGTATCTTATACTCCTTGTTACAAATGAAAGCTGGCTGCGCGGCTCACTAAAAGCTTTGTGATAAGCACCAATTACTTGTTGTTTTGTACACATCTTACTTTTTACATAACTACACATCTTACTTTTTTCATAACTTTTTTTGTCGAGGAAGTTACTTTTACGACTTTTGAGTAGATTTCTCCTCGGGTCAGTCTTTACCATGAAAAGCTACTATTGGGTTGTAACATAAGTTCGTAGAGTTTTGTGTTAGGGTCATTTTACAACGATTCGCTTTGTTTTTTGGCGAAGTGTACATATTCATTCGAAAGAGCTCTTTCTCCTCTATAAAATAGTTTTGTTCGTTTTTTTGGATAGTCTATTGTACGTCTTTTTTCTGGCTCAGAATTGGAATATCCAGGAGGAGAAAATCAGCATTTTCGACATCTGCTTTTCATCGAGGTCAATAAGCAGCCGAAGCCGCTTGGGACATATGCAGTGTGTACGAGGAAGGTGTCTTAGGTGTGTCTCTGGGTGGCCCCAGGAGAGACACCGAAGCCGGGAGTCAAGCAAGACCTTCACTCAAAATAGGTCATGATTTGCGTTTGGTNCTAGGAAATGCTCGAACGAAATGCTACTGTCAACAAGGAGGTCTACATTGCCTAGCTTAACCGTGTTAGTGAGGCTATACGGCTGAAAAGACCCGGTAGACAAGGTGAAGTCATCTTGCTCCACGACTACGCCAGGCACCATAATGCCCAAGTCGTCAAAACAGCACTCCAAAAGCTTGAATGAGAGGTTCTTCAGCATCCACCGTACTCTCCGGGTCTTGCACCTACCGACTACCACCTTTCCGCTCTCTGTCAAACCAAATGAGGAGTGTTACCTTCGATGGCGAAGAGGTTCTTGAAAACTGGCTCAACAACTTCTTCGACAGCAGACCGGCGGATTTTTGGCGAAACTGCATCAACAAATTGGTCGAGAGATTGGAGGAGGTCGCAAACAGTAACAGGAGGATACATCATTGATTAATTTATTATTATAATTATTGTTTTTTGCTAAAATAAATCTCTGCGAAAAAACTCTACGAACTTATGTTACAACCCAATATATGAGTTGTAAAAGTTATTACACTGAGATTTTCGTACTCTGATATTGGTCCAGACTACGATCCCCAGACCATGGGGGTGTGATGATGCGCTCTTTCTAATCCTTCACCTTTCTATTATGGTTGAACCAGTTTTTATATTTTTGATGTTTGTCAATATTAGGAGTGGATAGTTTGATCCAGTGGTGAAGGAGGTATTCTAAGTTGGGAGATCTCTTTTTTGAACCTCTCATGGTGGTGGAATAACTTGAACCTCAGTAACAGAGTGAAAACTAAGTAATTTTCGACATTCTTTTTGTCTACACTATCTTTGTCATGAATTTCAAAAGTAGTAAATACAGGGTGTTCCAAAAATATTTGCGCCAATTCATAGCAATATATTTGAAGCTCCTCAGCTGCGAAAGACGGTGGAATTTCTATACCCGCTAGCTAACACTATGTGCTTCAACATACTACAGTCGCATTTCAAAATATCCCCATGAGCGCGGATAGAAGGCAAAGTTTGCTCTCGACTTGATCGCATGTGGCACTCAGGTATCCTTCTCCATTTCTTCCCAGCCGTTCTTCAGTCTTTCCATCCTAGGACTCCAATC